GCCCAGTTCTCCTTCTGCGCTGGCTCACTAAGGTGAATGCTACAGTTTGCAGGTCCACCTAACTTGTGGCTTCTAGTGACAGCCTACCTCACTGGTGTATCTCAAGCACCAGTGAGGTAGGCTCTCACTGGAGGCTCAGGCATCAAGTTAAGTGCCAAGTCTTCTTATCCAACATCAGTGCTTGACCCCACAATTGCTCTTTTAGATGAATGGGCACAAATTCACACAGATGCACTCTGAAATCTTGTGGAGTGCATTCTCAGAAGTGTTGAGGCTTGTATAGCTGCAAATTGGGTACCACCTCAATGTTATTGGGATGGTTTTGGAATGGAATTGCCAAAAAGCTCATAAAGGTGTCATAATCGGGTAACTTTTGGTCATATGGTGTACCCACCTGTGATATGACGTAGATAAAGTTACCTACCATTGGTTTAAATAGCAAGGTACCTAGAATACAAAAAAATTAGCCTACCTTTGGTGTATGGAGAAGTTGTCAATACCTTGTGTATACAGAGTTTTGAAGACAGTCTTAAAGGACATTAGCAGGTAAAACTAGATAAAGAACATCTGCTGTGCCATGCTGGCCAGTATATAATATAGAGGTCCTATACATTTTTTTTGCACATACAATAATTAAAATAGATGAAAAAATACTTCCTAATTTTCTTAACTTCAGTTAATCAATCAAATTATTATGCAATGTATGTTACGTGGCCTTCAAATCTGAATATATTTATGTGCCCTCAATATCACAATATAATACCAATAGCTAATAAAGGAACAAAGGAGAGTAAATTCTGACTGTTCTGCACATTACAAAATCCTCACCTGCAGAATTGTATTGCTGTTATTTCAAAACCACCTAAGTCTAGACACTTACTCATATTGCTCACATTTTAGTACAAGCAAACCATATTTCTTTTCCTTTGTCGCATTTCACAAATGTGACCCTTAAATAGCCTTGTTTGCTGCGTAGATTCAGTGCCTGTTAGCTGTGTGTTTCTTGACCCTGCATCCTACATTGCTTTAACAGATTCCATATATAGAGGCAGGGTGCAGTCAGGTGGAAGGAAATAGGAGGGTGTATAGAAAAAAAGGAAGGACACTTGAGTCTTTACACATGATATTTATTGCTGAGAACATCAACTGCATGTTATAATCAGAGCACAAGGTTATTTAGTTTTTACAAATGAAATATGAAATGTGACCTTAGCAAAAATAGGATTCTCTTTTAGGAGTCAAAGGCCTTGCATCAAGAATTGGAAGCTGAGTGTGGCTGTTTTCACTACATAATAAACACAATATGACTATGTATTTAACTACACCAAAAATGTATATTGCTGTAAGTATCAATTATAGAAGAAAGGTAGTGCTTTGTGGAATGGGGAGTCAGTGGGGTAACCAGAGTAACGGGCGCCCGGGGCAGAACAAAATTTTGCCCCCCCACGGTGATATGGGGGTTCACAGGTACAATGAGAGCATGCTGGGACATGTCGTAATTGAACTACAAGTTCCAGAATGCCCTCATTGTCCCTGTACGCCCCCCAAATATCACCCAGGGAATATTAACTAGCTGATTGGCAGGCTCCTGTCCTCCTTCTATGCAGTGGAGCCCGGGTCCCTGTAGGGAAGGAGCCTGCCAATTAACTGGTTATCATGGCAAGTGGACCATGAATTTTGTTTACTTTTTAATCACCTTTTTATTGCTTTAATTTAATAATTATTTCTTATTATTTTTTACTTATTTTTTTTAATTTTTATTTATTTCATTATTTTTTGAACATTTCTTTTTCACTTGACTCTATTGCTATCACACAGGAGCTACCAAACTTCTGTGTGATAGCATTTGGAGGTGACAGGTTCTCTTTATTGAACCTGTCACCTCCAGGACAGGAGTTCTAGCACAGCACTGTGCTGAAACTCCTGTGACAGGTGAGAGGGGAAGACTGCTCTCCCCTCTCACTGCTTACACGGCGGCGGGGAGAGGACGGACCGGCTGCAGTTTTATTACAGTGATCTCAACGACATCACCGAGATCACTTGTAACCAAACAATCGGCTTCCCCACACTGCATTTAGTCCTGCTTGGGCAAAGCAGGACTAAATGTAGAAAGCAACTTCCTGCTCGGCGCCCGGAACTGCATGTTCCGGGGCGTCAGGGAATTCCAAACCCTGCCACAAATCTTTCATTCGCCAGGCCCTGCGTGTCACTGCTCGGTGGCCGGCGCCCCCTCCAGCTTTGTGCATGCATGGGGCAGCTTGCCCCCAGTTGTTAAGCCACTGGTCAAGGTGTAGGGGTCTACTAGCCCCTGAGCCACAGTCTGAAGAATTGGTATCTGGTGGCCCTGTTCCAGTCACCTCCTATCACATATTCTTCACAGATTGCTTGCTGTCTGTGTCATGGACAATATATCGCATAGGTTTCTGTGGTGCAGTCTCCTGTCTGACATACATTGCAACAGGAGGACATTCTCCTTTTAACCTTTACGCTAAATAAAGCTGTCTAAAGTTTCAACCATTTCAAGGGCTTGGACAACCGTCTTTCTCACACAGTTGTTAAACTCCACAGTGACATAAATCCACGTTGGGTTCAAATATAAAATGTACAATCAGAAGCTGTCATCCAGACAGGAACTTCACTCCCAGTGCTATTGGTTACAAGTGTTAGCTGTACTTTTATATCAAAATGGAGCTAATGCTCCCAACTCATCTGAAATGATATAATCATACAGTCCTAAAATGCAGTCTTTACCCCTGTTGCACTGCTGTGTTCTGAACAGGACTGGTCTGTGTTTTGTTCAGAAACTGACTGGACGCTTCGCCTGTGCAAATCCTGACTGAGGAGATGGTCTTTCCATTGATTTCTTTGGAGCTGGCATCACATGCACAATACAAAAGCAATGCCTAGTTTGGTTTCTGCTCAGAACACTGCCCTGTACAGGTTGGGACACTGAAGGCTGCATTTGAGGTCCGTATAGTTATATTCTTTTGGTGAGGGGAAGCCTTTGCTGTATTTTTATACACAAGCACTGCTATTTTATAATGATGAATATTCCATTATACGTCAACATAATTACAAAAATCTCATATACCCTTTAACATGCAATTGTCATGTTAAAGGTTATTTTCTTTTTTTACTTTACAGCTTTCATTAAAATAATCCCTTGATGCTGCCATGAAGGTCCTTGTTCAGATACGCCCTGTTGCGTGACAACACTGTTTCTGCCCCCCAATTGCATTCCTGCATTGTCACACTGTCATTTGCACTTCTGGTGGAGACTATAAGTGGCTATTCCACCACACATTGTACAGGCATGGTCCACTGTTGTCACTATTAGGAAGATGGTCAAGAGCAATGATGGGCAGCTGATGCTGGAGTGACTGTATGTACTCAGGAAGCTGTTGCAGGAGATCAGCAAGGCACAAGGCAATTGTTCATTACAGATACACAGTGCTTTAGCACAGTAAATGTTAGGATTTATAGGATTTACACCTAAGATTTAGGTATAGGTCAGATTTAGGAAGCTGTAAAATCTTTTTTTTTTAAAACAAGCAAAAAAAAATGATTCATTTGCATAATGCCAGACACACATACAGAATTTCCCTGAGTACAGCGAATCTCTCTCTTACACACACACACACACACACACACACACATACATACATACATACATACATACATACATACATACATACATACATACACAAATGATTTATTTAATTCACCTATTTATTTGTGCAACACTTTCACAGCACTTTACTGAAAATGTTAGTCTTTACTCCAGAGTAAAATCTAATGTTCCTCCCACTGCCATACACATGCACACACAGTGGTGAATGTCAATTAACCTACCAGTATTTTTTGATTGTGGAAAAATCCTAAGAAAATAAAAGATAATATACAAAAGCAATGCAGATACTGTCTTTGACTGGAACAAATCCAAAGGCTCAGCACTACAGGGCAACCATGCTAACCACTAGTATGTAATCGATAAAAATATTTATATCTGGATACAGAAATAGAATGGTCTCTCATTTACACTTTATTTTTAATGCAAATTTAAAAAGAAACAGATTTCACAGTAGCAAGTAGAAAATTGGCACTTAGACCCACAACCTCCACTCTTTGCCATTTGTCCACAGATGTGATGAATGGCCAATGAGGCTCACGAAAGGGCATGGCCAATAACTGACTTCCTATAGGAAGTGCAAGGGATTTAGGGGCTCCTAGGGTGTTAAGGACATAAATGAGGATTCGTGTTGGTACCTCTGGGTGTCTGAATTAGCATTCTGCTGCTGGTTTACATAAACTGTTTCCAGCACACAACTTACAAAATCACTAAGTTGAAACTATATTACCCAGCCTAAATAATGCAAGCTTTGCAAGTGCACTCAAGAAAGCAGTAGCATCGTGAGATATCATCCGTCTACACAGCCATCAATATCTCCCTTGTAGACTGTCCTAAAGTACAGTGATGATGATCAAGCATTACATTACATCATTGTGAACTGCATTGTACAGTGCAATATCCATTTTTTAGAACAGTACAGGCTTCTGCATTGTTTCCAATCCTGACAGGTCTACAGTATACAGTACTGTACTTTTTAAAAATCTCTGCTGACAGCACATTTTTCTGTATGTTTAGCTAATTGTGACTATAAGTTTGTGATGTAGGTGTTTAGTGGATGGCACATGTCATCAATCACATGTATAGGGTATGAATAATATACAAACTATGCACACAAAATACAACTGTTACCATTATTTTCTATCAGTGGACAGTAACTGGTAAATCTATGCAAAATCTGAAACAGCTGTATATATTCTAGAATGTATCCATGGACTAAATAAATCTACTGTATATATGCTGTGTTTGCATGTGTATTCCTCAGGTAGGAAACATTTTCTAGAGCAAAGAGTGTAATGCATGAACCATCATTCCATTCTCACTTGGTTTCAAGCTCACAGGTCATGTATTCCTTAACGACATGGACTATACAGCAAGGATATTTCTCTGCATGTGGTTGAAATGTCCTCAGCAATAGGTCAGAAAGGCAACAGAGTTAATTATTCTGCTGTTTTTAGACTTTGGAGGATTAAATCGAGCTCATAGCGCCAAGTCTCATATCTGTAGGCCATCCTTATCTGAGCAACATTAGTCTTGCGAATATCATTTCCTTTAGGTCCTTCCTTATGATAGTCTTTACCCAGGAAGTGTGCCTTTTCCTGGACAAATAAAATACATGAAACATAATTATAATGTACATTTTATTATTTACTATATAAATCTGTCATGGTATCTTAAAATAAAGGTGAACATTGGACTTCCCTCATGGTTGTTTTGTTGGGTGATAACTTCAGTATAGCATGCTAGATACATACCTAAAGGCACCCATACCAACCAAAAGCCTTTTCATTTTTGGTGATTCAGTGGTTCTTAAAACCCAAAATCAGACCTCATTTTAGTCTAGTACAGCTACACCATCAGGTAACAGTAACAGTTTTGAAAAAAAATGTATTAATACAATGGGGAAGTAAAAACGCCCAGCACCCACCACAAGAAAATGATATATGTATATAATGTAACTTTTAAAAATGTTATAAAAAAATGTCATGTATGGATTTCACTTAATTGGTATGTATAAAGACATCCAAGGTTAGATTTGGAAAATTAACTTTTAAATGAATGTATTATAGAAAGGACATCTGTTACTTAGGCAGCTTGTAACGTGCATACATTAACACTGGTACCGTATATAGTAGCGGCCCCCACATGACTAAAAAATGTGTCCAGTGGCCCCCGAGTAAATTGAGCTTGAGACCCCTGTTCTAGAGTGTTTATTAAAAAAATCAAATGTCACAAGGGTATACAAGGCTTGTGCAAGGGTGTCCAATAATGGCCAACCTTGAAAGTCTTCTAGAAAGCTAACTGTCACCATCAGAGTGTCTCACATTCATGTTCTATGTTCAAATGTGGCTCAGAAGATAAATAATTTGGGGAATGGTTGATTTAAAGAAATGAGCACATACCTCAGTGGACATACCAGACTGCAACACACTGTTCTTGGCTATCTCACACATGTCACAGGTGCTCAGCTTGAAGACTTGGGCAGCAATGGCAAATTCCTCCATAAGGGGCTCCTGTAGACCAAAACAATTAGATTCATACTTGGTTTTGGCTGAAATTCTGAGTTAGGTTAATTGTATACAAGCACAATTGTATGTTACACTAGTGCACTAGTGTAGAAATTAAAGTATATGAAAACACAAAATCTATTTTTTAGTATGTTTGACATCAACTCTCTATATAGTTTTTTCAAGCAAATCAATTTTTGTGAATCTATTACAAAGTTTCTTACCTGAAGATAATGTCACTAACAGCACTTTCTGTTGCAGACTGATAACGCTAAGAAGCTGCCTCGCAAATAGTCAGTTGTCAGGCGTAGTCAGTCTGCCACATGTGCTGCTTCAGTTGGCCATTGGACTGCCTATCAGGTCTATTAGATAGGCAGCCATTGGTTAACTCTTCCTTCCATGCTTTTATCTGCCTTTCTCTTTAGAAGGAAGGTACAATCTTTGTTCATGCATCATATAATCATCATCTTCAGCCTGGGTTGAGATGCTAGCTCAGAGATTATAGGGTCATGTAAATCTTGGTGTCTGTGCTGTTCCTAGCTGTGTTTACAAATGTCAGAGGGTCCATAAACAACTATCCAGTCCCTTTGTAGTGTGGTAACACATACGTGTTAGGGCACGCATTACGACAAGGTAACTAATTTATTTGAATGGGCTGCCAAAGCACCACAACAGACTGAAAATAAGACATGCTATTGAAAATGAATGGGCACTGGCACTGCTATGTGGTATGGTGCAATGCTGAGCATTATCACATGTCTAGGTGTGAATAGGTGAAAACATAGATCAGCACTCACAACAGCCTCTCACTTTGTGACTTGTTACAATGTTGTAGTGTGATTACTAGGGGACAGAAGACTGAGCAAGTGTTACTTCTTGCCTGCAGCAGACAGATGGGCAAAGTTCCCAAGCTAGAGCTCAAAGACTTATTTTTAATAAAAGGTGCAGATTTGTTTGAAAAATTATATTACTGCTGTATAATGTGACATGTCAGGAATGTATTTATGCGCAGTAATAAAGTTACAGATTTTTTTCTGGTCCTTGCATTTTTAAGAACATATTTAACACTGAAAAGAAAAACATTAGCAGAAACATTGAAGCATATTTTACCTTGGTATAATGGAACTGCATAGGGTCATCTGTAGACAATGAGACCACCAAGCCTTTTTCATGGAAATCCAGTAATGGGTTCTTGGCATATTCCAAAAACAGACTGTTGTTGCTCAGCGGTGACATAGCAATGGGGATTTTTGTCAAAAAGTATAGGTACTGCAGCACAGGGCTCTAGAAAATGAAATATATTTTCAGATCCATAACAAAAACAACAGACACCAGGAGAAGAAATAAAAAATAAAAAATCCTAAATTGCACCAGTTACTGTCATAGCAACCCCAATTTTCGTTTGGTACCTGCATTGAGGTAATGCATTGATTTGCAGAATTTTGATGCTGTATTACTCATTTTTGCTGTGAACAGCAAACAGATTTAATTTAGCTTCAATGCTTAGCTTTATGTACATTACACCTGCTGCGGAAGGCCTAATTTAACTGCCATCATCGCAGTACTTTTAACCTGAACTCCAATCATACCAAAACACACCAATTACCCAGTTATGTATTATTAAAAATACATTTTTATATTACCTAAATATGTCTTGATATGCCCTCTCCTGCAATCCCCTGTGTAGTAGCACTTAGACATGGAGAAGAAGGGAAATTATTAGAAGCCAATTAGGCTCTGCAAAAGTGTTCATATACTGGCAGTTAGTATGCTGGTAGAGAAGAAAGTCAACATAGGGATGACCTTGTAAAAGTGCTGCTCCTTCACTGTTCAATTAGCAAGGTGGGTATTTAACTGGGGTCATGAATCTCAAAATATTACCTAAAGTGTCCTCTCCATTCCTCTCAAGACCTCCTGTACTTTAGCTCCTTGTTTCTTCCTCCCATGCTCACCCCAAGAACCTATCCAGAGCCTCTCCCATCCTCTGGAACTGCTTACCCCAATCTGTCCGCTTATCTCCTACTCTGTCTACCTTTATCCCACCCCCACACAATAACTGTCCTTTTATTTCTTCCATTAGCTCATCCTACACAATTATTACTTTTTGTATTGATTGCCCCTCCTTGTAGGTTGTACTCTCACAAACAAGGCTCTCCGAACCCTATTGTATTGAAATTTGTATTGCAACTGTACTGTCTCCCATCATTTTATAAAGCAATGTGCAAACTGTTGGCGCTATATAAATCCTGTATAATAATGCTGTTGTTATTATTAATAATAATACTAATCTGGTAGATGCAATGGGTATGTTGTCTGGCAAATCTGACAGGATCACAAGACTAGCTGTAGAAAATGTCTAACAGGCTTTTCACATCTGCATATTTTATGTGTGTAGTTTACATGCCTAAGCTTTGAACCTTATGCATTACTTATTTTACTGGAAATTGCATAAAATATTAACTAACCAGGGCTATTTTCAATGTGGCATACTCGCAACATACCTAAAAAGTGCAGATGTGGATCTCTCACCCTCTGGCTCTGGAAGCTATTTCGACCTCTGTTGAGAAGTATTGGAAACAAAACGCTTCCACTGCGGGGCCCGCTGTTGTGTGGGATGCATTCAAGGCTTATGTGAGGGGTGACTACATGTCCCTCCAGAAAGCGATTAAAACGGAGGACTCCGCCCATAGGGTCGAGCTCCAAGCCGCAGAAACGGATTGTCTCTCTAGGTATGTGTCCTCCCCCACTACTGACGCACACTCAGCTTGCATCTTGCGGACCTAACGCGAACTGATTTATACAAACGTAAACAGAATTTTTTTGAAACTGGGGGAAAAAATGGACGTCTGCTGGCTATGCTATCCCAGGCGGCCTGGCCCCAAACGGTAGTTGCTGAGCTACACTCTGGCCTGGACACATCTGTTACCTCCCCAGATGCCATCCTTGAGGTATTTAGGGAATATTATACCACCCTTTATTCATCCTCATTACCGACGCATGCCCATTCTCCGGACTTGCGGTCTCTGCTGGACTCAGTAGCCTTGGGATGTTTATCAGACAGTCAAATAAGTTTTCTGGTACGGCCTATAGCAGAACTCGAGGTGCTAGGAGCCATATGTTCTTTTCCTAACGGAAAAACACCAGGCCCGGATGGTATCCCTATGGAATTTTACAAGACGCATGCAGGTTTAATGGTCACTAGACTATGTGAGATGTATGCCTCCTGTCTAGTGGCAGAGTGCCTGCCGCCCTCCATGACCGGGGCTCATATGATTTTGATTCACAAGCCACCTAGAGACCCGACTGACTGTGCCTCCTATAGGCCCATTGCCCTACTTAATTGTGACCTAAAAATTCTAACCAAGATCCTTAGCGTAAGACTTAATCAACTGATGGATAGTCTGATAGATTCGGACCAAACTGACTTCATGCCCCGTAGATCCACCGATATTAAATTGCGTCGACTATTCACAAACTTGCATGCATCCCATGTTAATAGCGGAACCAGGGTGGTGTCTCTTGATATAGAAAAGGCCTTCGATACAGTGGAATGGTCCTACTTATGGGCCATATTGGACAAAATGGTCCTGTGGCCTCTATAAAACTTGGGAATAACCTGTCAGCTCCCTTCCCTATCTGCAGGGGAACTCGGCAGGGTTGTCCGCTGTCGCCCACTCTCTTCGCCTTGGCCATGGAACCCATAGCTGAAGCTCTACGGACATCCCCCTATATTAGGGGACTTAGAGTTGGCTGGTTGGAGGAGAGGGTGGCGCTATATGTGGATGACATGCTTTTATTCCTCAATGATCCGGGACCCTCATTGCAGGGTGCCTTGGATGTTCTGAATGCATTCTCAGTTGTATCAGGTCTAAAAGTCAATTGGCATAAGTCTATACTGTTCCCCATTGATGATGATGCTAGGTCTGTACCCAGAACTGTTACTGAACTTTCCTGGGTGGACTCATTCAAATACCTGCGGTGGTAATCTCCGCATCACCTCAGGAGTACCTTACATTGAACATACTCCCGATTCTGAGCGATATGAGGCAGAGACTGAAGGCATGGGCGAACTTACCTTTGTCCCTACTGGGTAGGATCAATCTAGTGAAAATTAAGATATTGCCCAAATTGACATATATCTTTCGTAATTCCCCTATATGGATTACTAAATCCTATTTTCATCAAATTAATCAATTAGTCTCCTCCTTCTTGTGGGGTCCTCAGCCCCCGAGATATAAACTCACAACCCTAATGCGCCCACTCTCCAGGGTGCTCTAGCGCTCCCGGACTTTTATAAATATTTCTTTGCTACCCAAATGGTCACGGCCAACTGGTGGCTCTCAGCTAATGTTAACAACTCCTCTGTCATGTTGGAGGCTGCCATCTTGAACTCAGTCGAGGCACTAACTGGCCTACTATACTGTATAGAGGACCGAGAGCCCCCTATCCTCTTACCCCCTCTATGCGCACTACCATCAAAGTCTGGCGCATGGGATTATCCTGGTGCTCCAGAGACGCCCTGGATATCTCCCCGGAAACCCCTTTGTAGAATAACCCCCAATTGTCCCACTTCTACACAATCCCTGATCCCTCTTTTTGGGCAAAGCGTAACATAAAATTAATATCAGATATTGTTGAAGCCAATTGAATTAAAGTGGAAATCCCCGGCCTGGATGATGAGGACTGGGAGGAGATCTGGGATACACCCTTTAAACAATTAGTCGCAGTACGGGACAGAATGGTACAATTTAAGATCCTTCATAGAGCCTATTTCACCCCGCACCACCTACATAAAATGAACGCATCCATCTCTCCATCCTGTATGAAATAAACATGCTCAGAGGGTAACTTCTTTCAAATTTTTTGGGAATGCCCCCTCATTACCTCCTACTGGGGTTCCATAGTGGACTTTATCTCGAGGGTCACCTCATTACCACTAACACCGTCACCGAATGTGTGTCTTCTGGGCCTGGTGGAGGATGTAGCTCCGACCAGGTCTGAACGCACGCTGGTAGGGTTGACCTTGTTTTATGCCCGCAAGGCTATTGCCATGTGCTGGAAGAAACCTGCCCCGCCGGAGTTGTCTTTCTGGAAGAAACTAGTAAATGACAACTTACCTCTATACCAGGACACGTATGCCCACAAGGGATGCCCTGAAAAATTCCATAAAGTGTGGGATAGCTGGCTAGAATGCACTAATTCTGCAGTAGACATGGATGCATGAGCCTGAGAAGGGCTTGCTGCCCCTCTCGGAGAGCCCTGGATATATTTGAACCACTGTTATACCATTAGGCCCGGGAGGCCCTGTGCCCCACTACTGGATTCACCTCTTTATTGCTCTTCTGTCACGACCGAGCCCTTAGCAGGTATGTCTGTGTGATGCCAGTTTTGCCAAGTGAGCTGTGTTGGGAAATGTTTCCCTCACCTGTACTGTAGTAAGTTTCCCCGTGCAGGATAACTCTCTTTCATTTTTTTGTTTTCCTTCCTTTTTAATTTAATTTTTCTTAATGTTTACTGTGCTGTTACATGCACTGCTACGCCTGGTGCCCATAATGTTGGGAACAAGTAGCATGCACTGTTGTGTTCTAATTGTGTAAAACAATACATTATTTTATCCCCAAAAAAATACAACCCCAATTCTGAAAAGTTGTGTAAAATCTACATAAAAACAGAATGCAACAATTTGTAAATCTCAAAAAGCCTTTTTTATTCACAATAGAAAATAGAAAACATATTAAATGCTTAAACTGAGAAAATGTACCATTTTAACCATTTAACCATTTTAAGGTGTTTGCACCCGCTTCCTGGCCAGGCCATTTTTCAGTATTCAGCGCTCCAGTACTTTGACTGACATTTATTTCGTCACACAACACTGTACTGAAATTAATTTTATACAATTTTTTGGGGACAGATAGAGCTTTCTTTAGGAGGTATGTAATCACCACTGGGGGGATTTATTTTTTACTATATATCACAAAAAGTACAAGGAAACATTTATTATTACCCAAATTTTTGGTAAAATATAAAAGACGGGGTCACGTCGGGTAAATAGACACCAAACATTTCAAGCCTTAAAATTGTGCACACCCGAGAAATCACAAAAAAAGCTACCACACCCAAAATTGGCCATAGGTGATGCTTTAAAAGCTTTTACTGCTCATCAGTTTAGTGTAAACAGTGATTGATGGCCCTAAAATTATTGCTCACACTCTGACATTTGCGATGATATGTAACAAGTGTGGCGTAATGGGCACAATTGTTGTTTTTGCGCGAAGGTGCACCCATTGCATTTTTGCGCATCTTTGTGGGGGTGGTGGACTTTAAAAAAAAATGTGTGGGTTTTTTTCCTTGTGTGTGTGTACATTTTATTTTTTGTGACCAATTTTTTTTAAACTTTTTTTTTTCTACTCTTAACTTTATTGTTTTCACATAGGGGGCTAAGAAGCCCCCTATGTGATATCAAGTTACAGTGACAGGTCCTCTTTATGGAGACAACAGGGGTCTCTAAGACCCCTAATGTCACCTAGGGACCCCCAAAGAAGCTGATGAAGCAGAGATCTGCTTCACCAGCTTCTCTACGTCTTTTGTAGCCGGGGAGTGATAACTGAATGCGGAAGTGATGTTATAAACATCACTTCCTGCATTCACAGAACGGGGAGGAGAGTGGAGGGAGATCGTGTACTGATCTCCCTCTGTTCTCCGTGCACGGAAACCACACTGCCGGTCCCGGATTAGATGCCTTGAATTGCAGCAATGGCGGGGACGGCGACAGCAAGGAGAGGTGGGGGGTGGCATAGAGAGGTGTATCATACAAGTGATCCGGCATCTTTACAGACGCCGGACTGCTTGTGTGTAAATAGCCATCGCTGGCTGTTTCAAATTCTGGCAGTTTCCTGCTCGTGTCCGAGAGACGTTTAAAGACGGCCACCCGCTGCTAGAAGGCTCCCTTCTGGCCGTTTCTAAACGTTCGGCGGACGGGAGATGGTTAAGAAAAAAATAAGGTAATTGTAAAATTGATGGCAGCATCAGGTCTCAAAAAAGTTGGGACGGGGCCATGTTCACCCTCTTCTTTTAACAACACTGTAAACATCTGTGAACTGAAGACACCAGTTGGTGGAGTTTTGGTAGAGGAATATTGTCCCATTCTTGCATGATATAGGATTCTAACTGCTCAACAGTCCTGGGTCTTCTTTGCCATATTTTTCAATTCAAGATGCGCCAAATATTTAATTGGTAAAAGGTCTGGGCTGCAGGCAGGCCAGTTAACCACTTGATGTCCGGGGGTGTTAAACCCCCTTCCTGTCCAGGCCATTTTTCAGTATTCAGCACTGTGCTACTTTGACATTTATTCAGTCATGCAACGCTGTACTGAAATTAATTTTATATCATTTTTTTGGGACACATACAGCTTTCTTTTGGTGGTATTTAATATTTTTACTATTTTATTATATAATTTTAAAAAATGTACAGAATTTAAAAAAAAAAAGTTTTTCCTATGTTATATTATAAAACATGTATTATTACCCAAATGTTTGGTAAAATATAAAAGATGGGGTCACGTCGGGTAAAAAGACACCAAACATGTCAAGCTTTAAAATTGCGCGCCCGTGTAATAAAAAAAACTACTATACCTAAAATTGGGCATAGGCGATGCTTTAAAAGCTTTTACCGCTCATCAGTTTAGTGTTAACAGTAAATAATGGCCCAAATTGCCTTGTCCCTTGTGCACAGAGATTTCCCCAGATTCTTGGAATCTTTTGGTATATTATGTACTGTAGATGAATATATATTTAAAGTCTTTGCAATTTTACCTTGAGGAACATTATTTTGAAATTGTTCAACACTTTTTAGAGCAACTTTTCACATATTGGTAGACAGTCTGAATCTCTGTGATGTTCTTTTTCTACCCATTCATATAACTGACCTGTTGCCAATTCACCCAATTAGTTGCAAAATGTTCTTCTGGTTCCTCCTTCTTAGTACCACTTACATTGCCAGCTTTGTGTTGCCCAGTCCCAACTTTTATGAGATGTGTTGCTGCCATCAATTTCAAAATTACTGTATTTTTTTTCTTAAAATGGTGTATGTTCTTAAACATTGGATTTGTTTTCTATTTTCTATTGTGAATAAAATATTGGTTTATGAGATTTACAAATCATTGCATTCTGTTTTTATGTAGATTGTATACAGAGTCCCAACTTTTTTTGAATTGGGCTTGTAGGTAAAACACAATTTCTGAGGCGTATTTAGTGGTATACTTGGAGTTCAGCTTTAACAAAATGAAGTCAGAGAACTAAATGTTCATGGGTACCCACATTATCACAGGAGTATCTAATATATCTATCAGCAATCAGAAATAATAATTGGGCTGATGTTGATTAAAATGTAATGGCTTTGCTAGAATTGACAGTGAAGAGAAATAAATAGTATCCTTCTGGCTCTATAGTAGTACTTCTATCACTGCATGTATTAGTAGTAACTGGGGCATCCCATAGCAAAGGCAGTGCCCCAGGCTGCAGTGAATTCAAATGCAATGGTAGTAGAGGTAACATGGAGAAGTACACTACAAGTTCAGGTGTTTCCAGTGAGTGTTAACATCCCTGGCGGTCTGATTATGCAGGATTTTAGCATGCCAAAGCGGTACATTGTTTTTCATGGCAATTTGTTGTTTTATATTGTAGGCCTGTAATTCTTAGTAAATCTTAGGAATAACTCACTAAATCTGTCCAAACAAGAGTCCAGTAGACATCCCGGGTATGATAAAGTTTGAAACACGAAATCATAAATTATAATATACTAAATAATTATAAAAAACTATAATATAATAATAAAAAAAATGGTCCAGTAAATGGGAATTCTGGGGGCACTGCCTGAGTACCAAGTTCGCACATTACTGAGCTCGGTCGCAGAATCGTCGCTGTCGTCACTTTCAGTGGCTGATGACGAATTTCCCAACGAATAGCTATCGCTCAATTCTGCAAGTGATTCTAATTTACTATCGCTGTTTTCTATCTGGTCTAAAACCGCTTTTTACCTAAAGGGATGCTTTTCGGATGCCATGGACGTTCTCAAGTTTCCGGGCAGAAAGTACAGTAAAAGTGCACACAGGGCACTGGACAAAGCTCTAGGGACAAAATTGAAGGGAAATGGTTTGATACATAAATGTAATTATAGCAGATTACATTGTATTCTGTGTAAATGTCATGTTTTCACTTTTGAATCTCCCGCCGGCTCCACCCTCCGCTGTGACGCCGAAAACTAAACTGAAAGCCGAATGCCGGCACCGGCCGTGTACAGCAGAGGACACATCGGGCTCGCAGGGACAAGGTAAGTGACACTTTTGTGCAATCCCGAGTGTGGCTCAGGGTTACCGCTTTTGGTACGGAAAATTAACCCAGAGCCACACTCGGGAATACCGCCAGGGAGGTTAATACACAAGTAATTTAGACAATGCACTTACAAGCTTGTGGCAACAGTTTGAGGAAGGCCCTTTTCTGTTCTAGCATGACTCTGGAACACTGATTGCAGGCTAGATCTTGTTGTCTTGACCTCACACATACTTTTCACTGAATGTGCTCTAACTCCCACAGACACACGTGGATTCTTTTGGAAATCTTTTTCAAAGTGGTGAATATTGTTTAAATGCAATCATTTATTTTAATAATTGATAAAAAGTACCTTTTTCAGGTTTAAACCATGAGAGATGTTGTCTGCTGTCATGAATGCTGCCAGTAAGTGAGTGATAGCACCAGCCTCTCCACAGTGAGGACGGAAAAGGAAGGTGTTCATTCCTCTCTCCCTACAAATAAAGTGATGCTTGCATAAGTATAGATTAATTATATTTATATACAACAAGAATGATAAACCACACTATGAATTGTAAAGCTATTGAAATTCACAAGATGAATATACAAATACGTTTCCTAAAGTGTTCTTTTTTTCATTAACCCTAGATAATATTTAAAATTACTATTAAGATGGTAGATTCTGGATTTTGTGATGGGCATTCAATGTAAAAATATGATTATTTGACAAACAAGATGAAATCATTGTATATTTGTGGTCTACATACACATCCACTGTTCTTAGGAGATCTCCCCATTGCCTATAAAGCATCTATTTGGAATATGACAGGAAATGTTTTAATCTGCTCAGTTGCTATCAACACAAACATAACTCTACAGATATGGGGATCACCATAGACTGTGCAAATACTGAATATACTGTTCAAAATGCCCATATCACATGTTAAGATTCAGCTGTGTGAAGTTCTCCAAGCAATCTCCTCCACTCACTTGACAAACTAATGCTGTAGGTCTTGCCATTGCAGAAATCTCTGTTAAAATTAGTGGTTCTGACTTGAGTTGAGCCTGAAGTTTGAATTACGTTAGATTTGGAGCAGTATTTCATGAAGTCAGATGTCCCAAGCCAATTCTGAATGTCAGTGTTATTTTTGGAGAAGGGTTTCTAGGAGAAAGGGATAAAAGGCTGCCCCAAAGACTGTTTCTGTCTTATTTCTACATCCGCTGTTGCCTGGACACCCTTAGCTTGATTGGGACAATTTTTCTTTGGGCTTGAAAAAGAGGCACAGTGCCTCGAAACGCGTAGCCAAACTGTTTGTCTGCCATTCACATCACCCAGCGAGACAACCCGCACTTTCCTCAAGTCCTGTGCCCGTTCCCCAACGATCTGTCACAACGACTGCCGACAGTTCTCAAACCGCTATAGAGCGGCACTCTCGCTTCCGTTCAGCCGACGGTTCTCAGCCTGGCCAGCTGAATTCCCACGGTATAGGACGGCACGAACACTTCCACTGTACAGCCTGTTTACAAACAAGGCTACAGGACGGCAGATTTCTGGTGCTCCAGCCACAGGAGCCCCCCAGCCGGCACCACCAACCTTCCTCCAATACCGGGGAGCTAAACTAGATACTCCAAGCCCATTGTAATATTCATACAGTCTAGCTGCAGAAGTCGGCTGTGACCCATGCTGACAGCACCATCCACCCTTCACCGGCAGGACATTGCCACGTCAATGCAACAGTGAGTCTCAAATTTGTTATTATTAATTTTAAGCATTATATCCTTTTTTAAACAACAAAATCTCTGGGTTGTAGCGCTCCTTTTCTGCTTTTGTCATATTTGTGTACAGGGTCCATCTCCCTGTTTGGGTAGCTCGCTCACCCAAACCCTACTCTAATCATCCCACCGGTAGTGCGCTCGCCTTCTTTATTGTTTTTATCTTGAGTTGGAAAAAGTCCAGCGGAGGGCAACCAAACTAATTAGGGGTATGGAGGACCAGAGCTACGAGACAAGGCTACTAAATTTAAACATGTTCACATTGGAGGTGAGGAGATTAAGGGGGGATATGATCTCCATATACAAAATGTTCAATGGTGGTAGCAACATTAGCGATAAACTGTTTAAAATTAACTCCATTACAAAAACTAGAAAACCTAAAAACCTAAAATTGGTGGAAAAAAAATTCCAGCACAAGGGGGTTCTTCACAGTTAGATCAGTTAGGGTCTGGTACTGACTGCCACAGGTGGTATTTTCAGCAAATAATGTGGAATTGTTTAAGAAACTTTTGGACGATTTCTTAAGGGACCGTAATATACAGGGGTACAGGTACTCCTAGAATGAGATCCTAATAGGTTGGACTTGATGGACTAATGTCTTTATTCAACCTCAAATACTATGTAACTATGTACCTATGTAACAGCAGCAAAAACAATGGTACGCACACCATTGCTCCTTCTGGCCAACAGTTCTCATGTTTATAAGTAGCATTGAAAATTGACAGACACCCTAAGCAACCAGTCTTATAGTAGAACAATTATGTTTGGCCACTCAATCTTGATTCCATGTTATTAGGTCAGTGCTTGGGTTATTTGCTTGCTGTCCTCCATCTCTCCTCAGTCGAAAACAAAATGCATGCATATGAACAACTTCTTGTGCCCTCTGTCTATGCTTTATTCACAATAATTGCAGTGTTCTGAGAACTATAGAACTCCTCCCATCTATGTTATAAAGTTGAGAAGACGGAGATGTTTCAATAGTCTTGTCCTGTTTCTGTTATCCTGATATGGTACGGTGTGTGAGCATTGTCACCCTAGGGTAGGAAGCATGTTACTGGCAGAATCAGCAGGTGAAAATAACCAAAACAGAAAAGTACTGCATGCAGTCTC